AAAATCAAAATAAATATAAATAATCAGTTGACCTGGTTGAGGAATTCGTTGAGGAATAGCAACTAAAATGTGGAAAAAAAATGGAAAGTACAAATTGATTAATCAAAATCACAGTGGAGATCGTGATTTAAAATTTAAAAATAAATTAAATAGGGAAATTGAAAAGATTTCTTCGAGGGACCATGAAAATATTAATTTATTCAAATTATAAACAAACTTTTAAGTATTTTTTTAAACGAATTATTCATGAGTCATGAAAAATTTTTCAAATTAAATTAAAACTGCAAAGAAAATATAGTTGAAATCAATTTACTTTTGCATAGATCGCGTAGTATGTCAAAAGGTACCTAGTAAATATCGACCCAATTATTAGAAAAATAAGTTATGATTTTATTACAGGTGTAACATCTAATGTAAAAATTAGATATATGCAAATATTGTACGGTTAGAGTTTAACATTAAATTGAGGAATATATCTATTAATTACTACGTTAACTTTGTTAAAGTTTTGTATTTAATTTTATTTCATTTGTAAATTAATAATTAATTTGTTTCGATTGTATAAAAGTTTTCCATAATTCCAAAAAAAAAAAAATCATGTAAAGTAATTGAATTATACATTGAAAGCAGCTTATGTTACTGCAATTTTAATTTTTTACTAAATTTAATTTACGTAAATTGCGAATCAAACCTCTTCAATCCACCCTCGCAAATTTTATATACCTCAATTGATTTATTTATAATATATTTACATAAAGTAAAATAAGCAAAATTTCACTAAAACAGCAGCAAAAACTACAAATATTAGTGAAAGTACTAGTTCACTTCTCAAAACAACAAACACGAGCAAAAGTGCTAGCAAACACCACCAAAATTGGACAAGAATAATATTTTGTTGTGCTTAAAAATTTCGAAAAAAAAAAGATCTACTGTTATAATTGTTTGAAAAATTTTTTTCTAGTGATTATCACCACCCTTGATAAGTATATAATAATGATAAGTACATTATTATTGATTAGCTGAAAAATCATAGATCTTAAGCCCCGAACAAAAACCAATTGAAGCATTATTTTTAGGATATGAAGCAAATTATATGAATTGTAGCAATATTCATGGGATAATACGTCTTTGGGTCGTGCATTATCTAAGTCTAAAGTAATAATATTAATAATAATGTTATTAATGTATAATATCTGTGACGTATGATGAGGGTTATAAGATGGGCTCCCCATAGGATTGATGAAAACCCCCTTCTGGTAACATAATCTATAGTTAATACACTGCAAAACTGCTATCAAAA